GGGGGGGGTGGGGGGATGGATGTAAGGGGGTGGGAAATAACGGGTTTTAGAAGGACAACAACATAATCAGAAATACAGTCCTTTTGCTCCGCTGTTTGCTTCGCTTCTTGCCGTACATGACTCCCACCTCCCCCCCCCCACCACCCGCCCACATCTACCCCTCTTGATTACCTCAGTTATCTCGTCCCCCGGTCCCGCCCCCAACGATGTAAGCAATGCCTGTCCCTTAGCCAGCACTGCCGCCGCCTCGCCGTACTGGTGACCGCTGTAGTACGACAATGCCAAGAGGTGCCAGGCATCGGGAACCCGGTCGTCCTCCTCAATAAGGCCCTCGAGGACCTGGTGTACATATGTGTGTGTGGGGGGGTGGGGGTGGGGTTTGGGGGTACCGGACGGCGATCAGCGTGTTCGTATATATCCATATATACATACAGGCATTATACATACATTATACACACATACATATATATGCCATAATGTGTGTTTTACACCACCTGGAGCTGCGTTTTTGCCCTTAAATGTGATGCGAACCCATACATAATACATACATACATACATACGAGCCCTGGAGCCCCGAAGGACCGGCTAGATAACGTCTGATCCAATTCACATTTGTGTGTGGTGGATTGGAGGTCTGTGTGGGGAGGTGGGGAGGCGGTTTCGAATCAGTTTGCGCGGGGGGGGGGAAAGAAGAAGAGGAGCACAAGTGCATCAGGTGAAACCGCAGCGTTTCCACATCCTGCTGTGTGACAGTCTGTTCGCATGCAACCGTCAAATCACCTCCGCAGACTTGCAAAGGGCGTGTATCAAGGCAGGCCGCCTGCCATCACCACCCCATGTAATCCCCATCACAGTAAACCCTCACCTCAGGACCACACCGCGCGAGCTGCTGCTGCTGCTGCTGCACAGGGGGCCCCACACCAAAACAACTCGTCCTCGACGCCCTCCATTCCCCTTCAAGGGCTCCCCGAGACACCCAACAATATTAACCCCCCTGATCCAGTGTTTCACCCGGCTCCGAAACCCACAAACCTACATCAATTGCCGTGGTGGTGGTCTCGTCCAGCTCCAGCAACAACTTGGCGCACTCCAACCGAAATTCATAGCTGGGCCCCCCCTCCTCCTCCTCCTCCTCCTCGTCCGCGTCCTCTTCAGAATCGTTGTCACCAGAATCTGACGCCTCCACCTCACCCCCCGCCGCGTCCTCCATGTCCGCATCCTCATCGGCTGCCGCCGCCGCCTTCACCCCCGCTCCGGAACCACCCTCCTCATCTCCCTCTTCCCCGTCTTCGTCTTTGCTCGAGGGCGCATACCAAAGCGCCATGGACCGCCGGAGAGCCTGAATGCGGTACGACAAAGCAAGAGTACAGGGTACGACAAAGCAAGAGTACAGGGTACGACAAAGCAAGGGTTGATAACGGATTGGCGAGAGGAAAAGAGAAGAACGAAAGCATAAGTACTCGTGCTCGTGCTCGTCAGCTTAAGAATGCAACCGTCGGCAAACGGTTTGTTGTCAAAGCCCACTTGCACTGTTTCGCTGGCTGGAGGCCCCAACGGCATCGATAGCTATTGATGAGTACGAGGCAGCTGCAGCTGCAGCTGCAGTAGCAGTAGCAGCGGCGGCGGTGGCGGCGCCATTGCCAGCGTCCAGCAAGCGACTGCCAACTCCAGGCAGCGCCCAAGACAAGACTACGAGGGAGCGCGCGGCTCACCTCCAGGGCTTCTGCCGCACGGCCTTGTTCGTACCGCAATGACGCCAGCGCCTGACCGGGCTCGGGGGAGCTGGGGTCCGCCGTACTCGCCTGGCGGGTCGGCGGGGTGGCAGTGGAGGGTTGGGAGTCACCGGGGGGGAGAGGGGGGGAAGGCGCCAGCCGCGGCCCACGTAGCGGCCGTTACGGGAACGGGGTTGGGGGTATAAGAGCATCCATTACAGGGGTGTGTGTGTGTATGTCTGTCCGTGTGAATGTACCCCGAATGCTAAAACCCAGGTTCGGGTGGGCTGGGGGGTCTGTAACGGACGTGGCCGACAGCAGGAGGACCGGATGGCCGACTGAAATGGCGGTCCGGTCGATCCACTCAGGGTTTTAGGGTTTCAGTCGGGGCGCGATTGTGAGCGAGGAGGACGAAAGCAGCCCAGCCCGGGCACTACGATGACGACCTGCTATCGGGTGTATTGGTTGCGGCTCTCCCTTCCCCGTCCCACCTAACCACCTCATTCCCCGGGCATATACACTCGCACACACAGCACTTCCCGCAACAATCCGCCGCAACAATCAAATGTTCTTCTCCAGGTGGTGTGTGTGTGTGGTGGTGGTGGTGGTGTGTGTGTGGTGGTGGTGGTGTGTGTGTGGTGGTGGTGGTGTGTGTGTGGTGGTGGTGGTGGTGTGTGGTGGTGGTGGTGTGTGTGTGGTGGTGGTGGTGTGTGTGTGGTGTGGGGTGTGTGGTGGTGGTGGTGTGGTGGTGGTGTTAGTGTGTGTGGTGGTGGTGGGGGGAGGTAGGGGCGTTACATGAGGACAAGCTGGTCAAGTTGTGGTAGTGAGGAGCGGCGGGGGCCCGGGAGTTAGGCTGGGCCTACGGCTGGCTCTAGGTTGGGCCGCCATCCACCCTGTCTACCCAGCATGACCACCTCTACCACCACCATTTGACAAATGATAACGCGTGCCGCCTCCACCCCCCCAACCCCGACTCCTCCCAGCTCCCACCAGTGTCCCCTCAACCCGCTTTCACTCCTGGCAACGTTTCGGAGCTATTTGGAGCAATGACGTGGTTACGTGATTGAGGTTTCGGATTCGGCGGTTAGGTTGTTTTGGACTTCAAACGACAATAAGAATCTAAATCCAAATACGTACTGCAATTCACCAGCGCCAACAGCGACCATGTGGTTTTCACATGCTTTAAATTTCCAAGTCATCGGGAGGGCCTACGGGTACGAGTCGCCGCCCATCCCCTTCTCCCCCCCCTCCTCCCCACCTCACTCATCTGTCATCTCCCCACCCGACCCAACCCCGTGCGAGACACACCACACTCGCCGGCTCCCCTTTGGAAGGGTTTGATGTCGGCTTTGGACGCGTCGACAGCCAAATCTTTTGCTTGGGACGCATGAATATCATGGGCTTTTGCACACACACCTATACCCCCCATCCTCATCCTCAACCTCATCCTCAACCTCATCCTCATCCTCAACCAAATACGAAATACGAACTCACCAATGCGAGCAGATGCTCCACCTCCTCCGCCACCGCAGGCACCACCACCACCACCCCGGTGTCTTGCGCCGCCTCCCCGCCGCATCCACCTCCTCCTCCCCCTCCCCCTGCCGCTGCAGCCTGTTGCCGCTGCTCCTCCTGCTGCTGCGCGCTATGGTGCAACAACATCTCACTGAGGCTGCACAGCGCGCCGGACAGAGCCTTGCTGAGTCCGACGACGGATGGGGACGAGGCGGCCTGGGCGGCAGCGTGCTGGGCCTGTGTGCGCGTGTGCGGCCGTGGTGGGAGGCCGCCAGAAAACACATGTGGAGTGTTGGTGGAGCGGACCATAGGGTGCTGCTGCTGCTGCTGAGGGTGCAAGCGTGTTCCCACATTACTCTTGGGCACCCTCTTCCTTCAGTCCACACAGCGTAATGAATTATACATGGACAGCTATCTCTACTTGATTTTTGCATCTTGAAATTCTGCACCTTCTCCTCCTCTTAATCCCCCCTACTTACCCCCCGTAAATATTAAGATAGAAAGTCCCGCTTCTGCATGAGCCTTCTCTTCTAGCTACGCCCCCTCACACACGCACACAGTTTTACCTGCAGCACCTGCACCCCCTTGCGAGTCGCCACAAGAGCCTGTCCCGGGTCCTCCAGCAGCTGTCCCAAATAGAGGTACTTCTCGTAACCCGCATCGGGACTCAGGGAAGCCGACTTTTTTAACACCTGCAACACACGGTCCGGGCGGTTGTTGGTTAACGGTTATTGGTTGTTGGTTGACGGGATGGTATGGCTGGTGGAGTGGGGGAGCGTGGGTAAGCGCAGGGCTTTAGGCTGGGGTTGGTTTTTAAGCGCGGGTGTGGAATGGGGGATAATGGTGATGGTGAAGCTTCTAGTTCCGCTCTGTCTGCCTGTCTGGCTGGTGTTGTGGAGCTTGAGGAGGGCTACATGTCCTTGTCGTGTAATGAACATGAGAGGAGGGATGCCGGGGTGGGAAAACTCCGTGAGCAGGAGTCGCTGGGCTCTTTGGGTATTGGTATTGCATTAGGGAGCAGGGGGACAGGCTGCGTACAGAGGGGGCGCAGCATAACTATGGGAAGCTCCCTGCCAGTCCAGCCACACAGGCCGACCCAAACCCAACTTAAGTTATCTGGTGGACACAACTCGTAAAAATCTGAGCTCCGTCACAGCATCAGGCACATTGCGCAAATAGACGAGATGGAGATTGTGTTTAGCAAGCTGCAGACATGCGGTGCGTTGCATGGCTGACGACAACACCGATGGCAGTCAAATCAAGGCTTCGCCGTGGCGCGGGATCGCCGGCAGCAGCTCAGTGCCCTAGCATCACAAGCGAGTAATGTATGGCAGCTGCTGACCCACCTCGATGGCTTCGTCTTCGGGTCCAATTTCGGCCAGGAGCGCTCCGAGAGCATCGAGGTACTCCACGTTCTTTGGATCCATCTTTGCTGCCTTGCGGAGTGCTGTGCGCGCTGAATCGAAGTCATCATACTGAAGAGCTAGTTGCGCCTGTTCATAAAGTTGCTGTGGGGTCACACGGGCGGCGGGCGCGCGAGGTCCGCCGCCCTTCTTGGAATTCTTGCCTTTCGCCATCGACCCCGAATGCGGTGCGGACTACCTGCAGTCCTATAACCTATTATACACGTGCCCGGGGCTCGAGTCCCTTTAGCTTAAGCGCAGTGTGATATACCGTGTCTCTCAGCGACATCAGAAACGCGTCAGACAAGGCAAACAGCCTCTGTATACGTCAAGAGTTGATAAGCTTGAATCATGAAAAGCAGGCAACAAATTTACAGGCTCATGCGAGCACCTGCTGTAACCGCAAGTCCGTCCGTGCCGATATCTGGTGCCCTGCGCGTTAGGAACTAAGAACGCTTATCGCGTACCACAAGCGTATCTGTCTAAGCTAGTTGCATTACAATCACACAACTGTTTCCAAGTTTCAGCAATACTAACGAACATTCTGTTGTAACCGTCACAGCTGATGTTGCTCGAAGCATTCCAATGTTTCCAAATTCCACAAATGAGTGGCACAAGTTATCAATGATGTCATATGTAATGATCCATAGTTGTTGCAGGTCTTTGGAGGCATGGTTGCTAAGCTTGGATCGCAAGTGCTGGCTTTGCTCAAGCCACTCGGGGAACTAGGGTTTAATGTCTTTCGGATATGGTAATGCACTGATTATAAATCCTATAAGACCTCATTAATGAACAAGATTGCCTGCAAAAGACGCCGTCCCTTCGCTACAGTGACAGCCAGAGTGACAGCTGCCCAAGGTTCTTTCCTCGAGGCGACATCCACATCTCCACATGCGTCCCAAACCGCATAACGCGATCCATAAAAAATTCATATCGATCAGCCTGGATCGAGCCGGATATCAGCATTTCATTTGTCGAACCTACTCCTTCGTTCTTCCACATGAGCTAAGATCGGGAGCAGTACATTTAACTGCCAAGGTCACCTGCCGCGAACTAACCTACACCGCCTCCTCGCCCACAACCACATCATCACCTTCCTCGCCAACACGACACCAACACACCCCTCGATGCCCGTCTGCAGCGCATTGCGGACGGTAATCACTCCAGCCACCTGCGCTGGGTTTAGACCGTCGTGAGACAGGTTAGTTTAGGCTGCGCCTTCCACAGCCCGTCAACCAAGAGGCTCACATCCCGCCTGACATCATCATAGAGGTGCACATGGACTGGATCAACACCACCAACCTATAAATGCCTCAGGAACGCGGGGCATGGGGCTCGGCAGCACGGAGTGTGGGGCTCAGGAACGTGGAGTGTGGACCTTGGGAGCACGATGCATGGGAACTGGATCCCTGGTAGAGGCTCGAAGGCCAGTGAGATATGCAGAGTGTGGGGTTCGGGGCCCGCAAGCGGGAAGCATGGGGCTCGGGAACAAGGAACATGGGGCTCAGCACCACAGGGCGTGGCGATCATCCTACTGGGGCAGTTCCCAAAACGATCGACTCCAGATTGTTGGCGCGAGACTCTGGAGCGTGAAGTGCGTGGGCCAGCACTGCGTGGAGTGTATGGCTCAAGACCCAACCATATGGAACTCATATGGAGCGTGGAATGGAGGAATCAGAACCGTCCGGCACCACTACCCGCTGCTCTAACACACTGTTTACTTGGTTGTTACCTGCCTTTTAACGGTAACTCACCTTGTCTATCAGTAACCCACAACGGGTCACGCAAGCACAGACCACTGGGGCTCGGCAGCGTGGCGTGCACACCACTGGCACCGCGTCATTTGTCCCCGATCCTCGCTGAACAGTGCAATTCGTTGGTAGGTCACCGTGTAGTGCACACCTCTGCACGTCCTGGGGCATTCCCAGAACGATCGACTCCAGATCGACAATGACTTCAAAGACAACATTGCTTAAATGCTGGCCGAGTCTGTTTTCCCTGATGTTTCATCTCATTGGAAAATCGGCTTGCTATACGGGGTTCCCGGCCCCTCACCTCGGGGGTACTGCGCCAGCTCCCTATGTTTTAATTCTATGTTTTTAAGGGCTATGCATTTCAGGACTGCCCTGCTCGGCGGCGGAACCTGTCCCACTCCCTCGCAAGCCTGGACTGGACTCTACGGCTCAGCAGCCCTACGGGTATCCTGGGGCTCGAAACAGCGGACCCTGACGCTCCGGAGAGTGCACTGCGTAGGCCACCACAGCGTTGGCCTTGTAGCTCAAGACCCACACATATGGAACTCTAAGGCACGGAGTTTAGAATTCAGTAACCCACATTTGTGGGTACACGAGCGTGCAGGCTACGGATGCCAGAACCCCTACATGCTAAATGCCGCGCATCCAAACGGTAGCCACAGCCGTCCTGGGGGCCCCCGGGCACGGGGTGAGGGGGCCCCAACGGAAAGGGGGGGGCGGAAGCGTGTAAGGATTACATAATTTTCTATTGACATCTATCGAGCCGATCTTAGCTCAGCTGGAAGAGCGAAGGACTGTAATGGTCATTATAAAGATGCTGACATCCCTAGGTCGCCGCTTCGATCCAGGCAGATCGGACTCGGTGATGGAGCAGTGCTTCTTTCATACTTCCGCCCTCTTGTCTTTTGTTATGCATGTGCATGGATCGGTGGTTGCAGCCGTGCTAGCTGGATTCGCTCTCCCAAACGGAGACTGTTGCTAATCGTGTTTCCTCGCCGGTGTCTTAAAAGCAAGAGATAGGACAGCAGGACAGAACAGGACAGGGTTTTAGAGTTTGGGGTTCTAGGTTTTTTCATATTGATAAAAGCAGAAAGGACTGTTAAGACGGGTAGCTGGGGCTCACCCGCAAATCCCCAAGCATGCATGTCCCGACCAGCAGCAACAAAAGTCAGCATACGCAGCACCGCGACGTGTCCCGAAAACCTCAACACGACTGCTACTGCTATGCCCTGGCTCCAAATCCGCTCAGATCAAGCATGAATCTTCTTGACCACGCACAGTACACGTCGTCTCAGTTCTGGTTGGGCGCTCCGCCTGCACCTGAGGAAGCCGCCAAGGCCGCCCACTGCACCAGGCGGCTGGGGGCCTGATGGCTACGAATCACACCTTCCCAGTTGACGAGCTCATCCTCGAGACCCGCCAGCAGTGTATGCAGCTTTGGAACCAGTCCCCCGCTAGCACCCCCAGGGCCGCTGTCACCACTATTGCGGACATCACCGCCATCCTTAATCCCTGCCATCCCCATGTACATAGCGTCCGTTAGGTCGTCGGTGGCATTCCGGGTCGTGGTGGTTGGGTTGCCGTCATCTCCATCTCCATGCAGGATGGCTCTGCAAGTGGGATGGTGCGTGGTACAAGACGTGAGAGATAGCGGGTCAAAGATCGCCCCACACACTGAAAGCGGGGGACGGGGTGCTAGGGACGGGGTGCTAGGGACGGGGTGCTAGGGACGGGGTGCTAGGGACGGGGGGGTGCTAGGGACGGGGTGCTAGGGACGGGGTGCTAGGGACGGGGGGGTGCTAGGGACGGGGTGCTAGGGACGGGGTGCTAGGGACGGGGGGGTGCTAGGGACGACACCCAAATCCGCAAATCGGACGGACGGATGGACAGGTGGGACATGAAGATATGACAGCCTTGATGGTTTTTAGAGGGTTTTTAAAAACCCTGACAGTAAGGCCCCAGCTACATGCTCTGCCTCGTGCGTACGACACATGAAAATGCATGAATGAGCATGTCAAGTATCGTGCAGGTATTAGATGAATGCAGCTGTGCTTATACTTAAAGCACCTGTGTGCCACCGCATGCAGCGCATGTAACAACTCAGCGCCTCGCTTGAGCGAGGCAAAGCGCATCTAACTATTTGTTCATGTATATAATGCCCGCCGGCTCCCCCGTTCGCCAGACCAGACCAATCGCACCTGATCTCACATAGGACTTCGTCATATCGCCCCACACACCCCTCCAACTCCTTCCTTTTCCCATCCTCCGCCTCTCGCCCTTGTCCTTGCTCTTGCAGTGCCTCCTGTTGTGCCGCGGCGGTGTTGTTGTCCGGGGTTTCCCCCGCCGCTGCTGCTGCCGCCGTCGGGGGCGGGGTCCGCGTCGCCGCCACTGCCGCCACTGCCGCCGCTGCCGCCGCCAGGTTACTGATTCGCTCCAGGGGCGGTACGAAGCCCCTCAGCGCGGCCACCACGCCACGTAGAGTGCCCACCGCACAGTCGAATTGGTCCTGCACACCATTGCGATGTGGTTTGGGAGGAATGTGCATGGTGCATGGTGCGTCCTTCATATCAAAAACACTGCGAACGGGTCAGTGGTGCACACACATACATACATACATACATACACACATAACTGCACGCATACATGCATACCTGCGTACAGCAGCATGTAACACATACACGTGTGGCGATATGACTTAACAGCACGGGTGCTTCCCTGCGGCTCCCCGACCCACCTGGAGGCTCCGAGTGGCGGTGGTACCCAGGGCCCGAGTTGCCTGAGGAGGAGGAGGGAGGGGGAGAGGTTAGGGG